AGACCATTAACCACATCCAAGATTAAAGCCTGTATTTACATAATATACACATGTGCACCGTGATTATTTATCGATATATGTAGAATTACACACACACACACTGTACAGAAAACACTATGTTATATATATATATAGGGAGTATACAATAGATACTTTTATTCTGGATGTGATTCATCGCGATTGTTCGTCAGCACTAATAAAAACTAGAGCTGTCGAACAGTTCATCACATCCAGGATAAACGTTTGTATTTCTATAATGCCTATATTTATGTGTATATATATATATATAAATACACACACACTATGTGCATAAATGTTTCCCAGGGTTGGGTTGCAGCTGGATGGGCATCCGCTGCGTAAAACATTTGCTGGAATAGTTGGTGGTTCATTCCACTGTGGTGACCCCTGATTAATAAAGGGACTCAGCTGAAATGAATGAATGTGCATAAATGTCTATAAGGAATATATTTACTTATATATTTATATATAGTTTCATTCATTTTCCTTCAGCTTAGTCCCTTTATTCATCAGGGGTCGCCACAGTGGAATGAACCACCAACTATTCCAGCATATGTTTTACGCAGCGGATGCTCTTCCAGCTGCAACCCTGTACTGGGAAACACCCATGCACACTCATTCACACACACACTCATACACTACGGCCAGTGTAGTTGATCAGTTCCCCTATAGCGCATGTGTTTGGACTGTGGGGGAAACCGGAGCACCCGGAGGAAACCCACACCAACACAGGGAGAACATGCAAACTCCACACAGAAACACACACTGACCCAGCCGAGACTCAAACCAGAGACCTTCTTGCTTTGCTACCCACTGCGCCACCGTGCAGCCCCTATATATAATTTGTCTTGTATATATATATTAGCACAGTCATGCACATATGGATACAGACAGGAACACACCGCGTCTGCACTGTATGACTATATTAGGTGAATATCAACTCTTATTCTGGATGTGATTATTGGTTTGACAGCACTAATAAACACATGTGGCACCGGCTCAGACTGACGGCACGCGGGTCCCTCAGCATGCGGGACGTGACCAGACAGAGGAATCACCTCCGGGTGGGTCAGTGCTGATTGTCTGATGCGTTACAGAAGCAGCGTGGAGCAGTGCGGTGTGCGGGTCACAGGTCAGGCGGTGGGTCCGGGGCCCGGGGCCGTGGGGAGGGTGGGCGGTGCTCCGGAGGTGGGAGAGCCGCTCTGTGTCTGCGTCTGCGTCTGGAACTGCAGCAGCTGCTCGGGGCTGGACAGGTTCTTCAGCAGAGCGTTCTCCTGCTCCAGCTGACTGTTCCTCTCCATCAGCTCCTTAATCTGCTCCTTCAGCACCTCCACCTCCTCACGCACCGCGTACATCAGGTGGCTCTTCACCAGGTCCTGCCACACACACACACACACACACACACATCATAGTTAGTTTCTATCAACACTAAAGAGGATATTTTGAAACATGTTGGAAGCCGGTAACCATTGACTTCCATTGTAGGATAACTGCAATATACTGGAAGTCAATGGTTACCGGCTTCAAATTATTCACATTTTGGGTCCAACAGAAAAAAGGAAAAAAAAAAAAAAAAAAAACTCAATTTGGAAATTAGTAAATGATGATGATTTTGTGTGTGTGTGTGTGTGTGTGTGTGATCATCCGATGAGAACAGAGAGAACACAATGTTCTTCATCCAGAGGGTGGAGCTGCTCTCATACACAAAGCA